GTATTAGTGTAAAGTATGATGTTTTTGTTGCTAAAATGATGTGTTTTGATGAACTGGCCCTCCCTAACAAGACTTGCCCCCTCATTCGATTTTTCTGGGTCCACCACTGGTCTTGGTGCTCGCAGATAAGCGAATTCAGGTGTCTCGACTATGATGTTTCTCGGACCCTAACTATGATTAGGGAATTGCATACAACAAGATGACATAAAATTGAAGACATAACCATTGTCGAGGAGTTATACAATCATTTTACCCTTAGTGGGGGGAAATCCGCCTAAGCTTTTCTTCTTACTGTCACACTCACAACGAATACTTCACAATTTGGCATCCATCTCATACATACCACTCATCTAAATTGGTCAATGATTAGATTAAAAAATAGAAAACAATATACATGTATAATGAATCATTCAACCATGGGAATTTGCTTGTCAAGTAGTTATTCATCACATAACAAATTTGAACTAAAACCACGACGAGTAATTTGGAACGGAGGGAGTAGCAAGTACTATTTCTGTACTGGTTTATTGGCTTCCTTCGTATTTTATGCCAAATTTTGATCATATATTTAACTAACAATATGTTAATGTATGTCATGAAAAATTGTACTGTTAGATTCGTATTTGAACATAATTTCTAATGATATCGTTTTTGCTACATATAACTTATATTTTGTTGGTTAAACTCATGATCAAGTATAACCCTAAATACAAAGAGGACTAATAAACTAGGACGGAGGTAGTATGCATCATGATGGGAGAGAGAGAGAGAGCGAGAGAGAGAGAGAGTGAGAGAGAGAGGGGGGGGGGGAGAGAGCAAGCATGTGATGGTGTAGCCTGGGTATAGGCGCACAAGTTGAAACAGATTAAAGAATGGCAAACAAAATGAAAATGTAATATTTTACAACTAAATAGCTTTTACTTTATCTTATAAATTTATTTAACAAATTATTACCCTTGTTTTCTTAGTTTTTATCAATAAATTATGCGGAAAAGATCTGATCTGCAAAACAGACATAATTAATATTTAAATTATTATTTTATTTTTAACTATGAATATCTTGCAAATATTACTATTTCCGGTTTGCATTGCTCAATCTAATACGTCTTAAACTTTATTAAGACAAATGTTTGAGGATGAACCTGTTATCCTTTTTCTCATGATATTCTATATTGTGCAAATTCGGTATTAACAAATATAAATTGTGTGTAATTTTATAATTAATGATTAATTAGCTGATGAATTGCGTGACTCCATCTATGGTAGTTCAAATCATGATACTACTTAAAATTACCCATATGTATGTGTGTTAATAACTATCTCTACACGTGATGGCACATGCCATTTACTAGTTACATATAGATTATCAAAATCATGTAGCATGATGCATGTGATCTACTCATCGAAGCACAGACAGAGACCTTGCTACATATATATCACAAAGTCTCAGTCAAGTACCTGGCCGTTAGATGAAGGTGCATCAAGATTCGTGCAGTAGGCCGGGCTTGTGTATTGTCATGTGGGGTGTGACGGGACCTTTCTTTGTGTTTTGTTTTTTTTTTGGTTGGATCACACGCAGAATGGTTCTGGGGAGAAAGGGTGAAAGCAGCCTATTTTCGTGTTTTATGTTTTTTATTTGTTTCAAAGACAAGAGGGGTGGAGATTGTTAGCCGGCTTCTCTTCTTTTGTGCCATCAATATTGTGTGTGTCTCTCTTTTTATCATTTTTTTGGATATTCTTTTTCAAAAAAAAATTTATTTTTGTATTGTATATCTCCACCTTTTATTTTCTGTTAATTTCCCCCCTTTTCAGTAAAATATGGACCATTTTTTGTTTGAATATATATTACCGACATACATGTACAACTTAATATTTTGATATGTTGTTGTGTTCATTTTACGTATATGTTGTGTCCGTGTGTGGGATGTCGACTCATGGAGTATATTATCTTTTTCCGCTCTCTCTCTCTCTCTCTCTCTCTCTCTCTCTCTCTCTCTCGTTGTGTCAGCGCACCGACTGGGATTTAGCAAAGTCTCAGTGGACATGCTGATCGTTAGATGAATGTTGCTTTGAGATTCGCGTGTCACTTTCTTTTAGCAAAATTCGCATTTAATAGACAGGTTGGGCGTGTGGTTCGTTTGTCGCACTTGCTAAGGAGTGGCCCATTAGGTTTTTCTTTCATGTGCTTGTTGGGTAAAGGTTTTTGTGAATGGGCCGGTGTAGGTGGAAGGGACCTTTTGTTGTCGTTTTTGTCCTTTTGCTTTCTCTTCTTTTGCCTTTTCAAATTAATTTTGCACAATAGATGGTTATAATTGAATGGCTGCATCTTATTCCTTTTACAATGTGTCTTTTCCTTTCTCTCTCAGGCGTGCAATTATAGACGACCCCTTCACCAGTTGCATACAATGTGAGGCGCGTGTAGCTATGCACACTCAACATTTTCCGTATACATCAAAAACATTTATTTATATACACAATTAATATTTTTGAAATACATGATTAATATTTATTAACACTTAATGTCCACATTTTCCATACATATTGTATATTTTTTCTATATATCTAACACATTCTAATACATGTTAAAAATCAAATATAAGTTTAATATTTTTTAATACATGGTAAACATTTTTTCTCTACAAATTTTAAACATTTTTCAAATACTTGATTAAAGAAATTCAAATACAAGATTATCATTTTTCAAATAAATGATGAACATTTTTCCATACATTTTAAACATTTTCAAATGCTTGATTAACATTTGAATACAAAATAAAAAAATTAATACATGTTCAACATTTTTCTCTACACATTTAACCTTTTCTAAATGCTTGATTAACATTTTTTAAATATATGTACAAAAAAATTCGAATTATTGATTAAAGTTTTAGATATATGATCATTTTTTCATAAACTTTTTACTTTTTGTATAGACTTTTTGTTCACATGAGAAATATTTATCTATAAACATTTAACAATTTTTTAAAACTTAATTAACATTTTCTCAAATTTTTATGTAATATTTAACATATATTTATTTAGAATACTTGGAAGTATTAAATAAAGTGAAAAACAATAAACATGGAAAAACAGAAAGAAAAAAACTAGACAATACACAAAGCCCAGCCTAACGCATGAATCTCAATGAACAAAGGGAATACGATCCTAGGCCATGAGCCAGCTTAGCAACACACCGTCGGCGAGAAGCTTGGCTGCAGCCAAGGGGTGCATTCAGCCTGCACAGTGCGCCGCTGGTACGGCAAGTGGCGGCGCCCAAGAGCATCGCCGTGGCATGTGGGGAAAAGCACACCGGCGGCGATGTGAAGAGATTGAACTGGATAGGAATTATGATTTAGGAACGGGGACTGGGGAACGAGATGACCGCTGCTTTACGATTCGTATGGCCTGGTGTCACATGCGGGGCAAGGTCACGATCGGCTTTGTACGACCCGGTCGCATATGATTTCCCCCCTTCCTACAGGATACATCAGGCTTTTCTTTAAAAAATAAATAGCAAAAAGGCCTGTGTGTTACAATGGGAGGAAAAAATACCATACGCTTTTAATTTACAAAAAAGAAAAAAGCTCTATAGTATGAGAATTTGTAGCTACGGCCCAAACAAAGATGGTCTTAGCTTATAAAAATGCAGTTCAAGATTCTTCAGCTATTCTATTTCAACAGGCTTGCATATAGATTTAATCCATATAAAGAAACGGGCAAGTGATCATGCATTTATTCATGCCATGTGTGAAATGGGGTATTGTTACCGGCGGGTAAAGAAAAACGACAAAAAACAGATGATGACACATTAGCACACTATTGAGACATGTGTGCATCAAGGGCGGTTTTCTATTTAAGCATCACCAACTTAGGATAACTCTTGAACACTATTTTTCACATGCATATTTCTTAAATACATAAAGAGTTGTTAAAAAGATATATGATTTTTTAAGCATAAAGAAATATATTTTTGTCTGGAAAAAACATGTTTGTATGGTCTCCTATGAACGCAGGTACTTGTGTCCATATTTCATCACTATTTCTTGCCATACATGTCATTGGTATTGGTCCATGTTTCATCATTATTTATATCTTGTCAAACATGTCTTTTTTTTCATGCATGCCTCCTTTTTACTTTTTTCCATGCATGTCCTCTCTTTCTTCTTCTTATATATAGGAGAATAGCGCAACATTTCATCTTTATCAGATCTCCTCTGAATTTTATCCTTTATTTCTTTTATAATAGACCTCCCATCTTTATTGGGTCCTTCTTTTATTTCTTGGCATGCATGTCCTTCTTTATTGGGTGTCTCTAGTAAATTAATCTTTAATTTCGTGTCCAATCCTGATTTTGTTGAGGTGTTCATTCCCAATCCGAATCAGTACCGGTACAAAAAAAGACGGATAATGCATAGTTCATTATATAATTAGTAATTAGCAAAAGGGTGCAACGGGAGAAAAGAATACCACATGCTCTTAATTTACAAAAAATGGTATATAATCTGAGTGTTTGTAGCTACGGTCCAAACAAAGATGGTATTTGCCTACAAAAGCACAAGTTCAAGATTTGACATGTCTTCTATTTAAACATGGCTTGCATGTAGACTTAATACGTGTAAAGAAACGGGCGGGTGATCTTCAATTTCGTCTCCAATCTTGATTTTGCTGAGATGTTTATCCACAATCCGGATTAATACCGATATGAAAAAAAACAGATAATGCACTGTTGATTAAGATTGCACCCTAAATAGTATTTTTTTTTAAATGGTTAATAGGTAAAATAACATCATATTCAGATTATATGTATTTTTCTAATCAAATTTCATATGTAACATGTTAAATTTAAAGTTACGGTTTAGAAGATATGAGTATTTAAAAACAATATTTGATATGTACTGCAGATTTAATTTCAGAAACATTAGGTTTTTCTTTATAAAATAACATGACTGAATAAAAATATCTATTTCCTTTATTAATAGGTATAGATAATTAGTAATTAATATTAGTACATAGTAGTAGGTATAGATATAGATATAGATTATAGGCTAGATCAGGCTGACACCTAGCGCTGGCCAATAATAAATGAAAAATAAGAGAGAGGAGAGGCACTGTACATTGCTGAAGAATTAAACCGAAAAATAAGAGGCGGCAAAGGCATGGCTTTGTTCTCATCCATTTTGTGCTACAGTACTGATTACCAAAATACACATTGAATAAGGAAGCATATTCCCCTCAAAGAAAAAAGAATAAGGAAGCATAAAGATTTGTAATCCCTTTTTTACTCTGTATAAATATTATTTTCACTGAAAAATTAAACTGCATACATGTCCACTGCGTGATTATAATTAATTAATTATAAGGATTGTGAGGTTGATGAGTTAAGTGGCAGGACAGAAGGTGATGTGGTAGGTGGCGGCGCCGGAGCAGGTGAAGGTGCTGCTGGCATCGTCGTAGGCGTAGCTGTAGGCCGCCGGGCAGGCGGCCTTGAACACCTGCGAGTAGCTGGTGGGCCCGCAGGCCGCCGGCGTGCCGTAGTCGCCGCTGCAGCAGTAGCGCGCGCTGCCGTAGGCGTTGCAGGCGCTCTTGCACGCCACCACCTCACCGCTTGAGCCGGACGCGACGCTCAGGTCCGACGGGCACACGGCGTTCACGTCGCCCGCGCACGCCGCCGCCTGGCAACCTCCGTGGGAGGGCGCGATGCTGACGGGCAGGTTGAAGCCGTCGACGAGGCTGACGTCGTAGAAGTCGAGGCCGCCGGAGCCGGGGGCGGAGAGGGTGATCTCCGCGAGCGTGACGGGCGGGGCGGGCCCGCGGCCGTCGCAGGCGACGTCGCCGCTGCCGCAGTCGGCGGTGGCGCAGGCGAGGCGGCCGGTGCCCTCGTCGACGGCGCAGCCGGTGCGCGCCCAGAAGTTGCCGGACCAGGCGCCGGAGGACGGGGCGGCGAGCGAGGAGGTCCCGCCCGGGGCGAGGTAGAAGCCGGTGCGGGGCAGCTGCGGCGACGTGGCGCCGCTGAGCACGCCCACCCACACCGGGTGCGAGCACTCGTTGGCGAAGCTGAAGGACGTCGCCGCCTCCACCTCGTTGGCGCCAAGAAGGAAGAAGATGGCCAGGTAGAGCGGGAACGGGGTGAGCTGCCTCCAGGCGCTAGCTCCATTGGCAGCCATCGCCAGTCGGCCCGAGAAGAAGCCGGTGAGATCGACGAATGGAGCGTCACTGGTCAATTAGCAAGCAAATTGCCACCGGGATCGATCCATCTTTCTTGGCTGAGATGTTTATTTATAGCGTGCCATACTAAACAAGTAGGTAGATGCACGTAGGAGATAATCGATGAACAATGGGTAATTAAGGTAGGCAGGTCAGGGTAGATAGGTAGCTAGAGAGGGTATAGGTGATGCGTGGATGAGAAAAAATTATTAAAGCGAACGTGTCAACATGCATGCATGGATGCAACAAACTGGTAGAAAAACTTTGCCGTTTCTTAGTTCTTTGGGTAAAAAAAAAGCTTACTCGATAGTTTTTGGCCGTATGCTTGGCGTGGGCTAGCTACATCGATCGATCCATGCATCATATAATGATGAGAAAAAGCAAAGGCAAACATGTAGTAATAAGTTAATGTCATCACGTACGTACGTCAGTAGCCATCAATTCCACCGATCGGTCGGTCGATCTGCCTTTCTGGTTCACCGATCCCTTTTTCGGTGCAGATGCAATGCGGGTACTACATATGTCCATGCATGGCGAAGAAGCTTGATTAACGGGTACGACTATCTTTGGGTCAAGTGACGGTTGAACTGACAGGAGAAAAATGCAAAAAGGGTTTTAGTACTTTTGTTTTTAGTTGATTGATGAAAGGTTTTTAGTCTTTGGCGTGTGACTCGCAAAGTCGCAATGCAACTCCCCCAAACAATAATAGGAAAGGACCTACGTCGAGTGCAAGGAGCTAGTTACTTTTCAAACGCACGCATGCTCAAATTAAGCACAAGAAACCGTGCCGTCTGTGTCAAAAATCAGCCATTCCCCCTCCTACCCGAAGGTGAAACCCTAGCCCTGAGCGCCTCCTGTCCATGAAACCCCTGGCCGCCGCCGCCTGTGGCGGCGCCCGGCCGACAAAGCTGGCGGGCGATATCTGCTTGCCCTGACAGGCCTCCTTCACGCATGGGAGAGATGTCTCGACGGTAAACCCAGGCAAACGTCGGGCTAGGCTTGTAAAAGCCCGACCTTCATTTCCCAAGCCGAGCCTGGCCCAAAGCTCAAAATACTCCTTGTTTCCATGCCTGAACCCGGCCTGAAATTAAGCCCGAAGCCCGAAACCCAGGCCGAATGCTATTTTTTAGTATGCACATGTGCAAGCTCGGCCTGAAGCCCGAAAACCCGGCCCAAAATACAGAAAAATAGAAGCCCAAGTCCGGCCCGAACTATCTTTCGGGCTATAAAACAAAGCCCAAGCCTGGCCGAATGTCAAGCCTGGCCCGACCCAACCCGGGTTTTTTGGGCTGGGTCGTTGGGACAGGTTGGCCATGCCCGAGTTTACTCGAGGGTGGCACGGTGGCTGGTAGATCTCGGTGCGGCGGCGCATGGCGAGAGTGTGGGGAGAGGCGGAGCACGGTAACGAGGTGGTGCGGGGCGACGGTCTTCTTCGAGCGCCGAGGTGGGAGCCGGAGGTCGCAGCATGGGGCCTTGGCGATGGCGGATCTTGGCCAGTTATGGTGGCTAGGAGAGGCAGCCAGGATTCGCTGTCAACTGTTTTAGATCCATGTAAGGATTCAACGACGATGACTTTAGTTATAGGACCCTGGTCCTTAGGTACACGTGCATGAAGAGTTCTCGGCTGTCATCAATAAGGTCAAGCCAGCTTCTATAGGAAAGCAGCGACAACGGCACATAGACGGCTCATTTTGACGACAGTAGTGGTCTTTCGATGGTCTTGGGATCTCATATAATTATTATTATGTTTGAGATGTTTTCTACTTTATGTGATTTTTTATAATATACTCCTTCCGGTTCTTTTTACTCTGCATATTAGAATTCTCTGAAGTCAAACTTCACAAAATTTGACCGTATTTATATGAAAAAATATCAACATCTGTCATGCTAAAGTTATACAATATGAAACTTTAAGTCATGACACATCTATTGATATTGATTTCAGATTGTGAATGTTGGTACTTTTTTCTATAAAGTTGGTCAAACTTTTTAAGGCTTGACTTTAGTTAAATTTTATATGCGAACTAAAAAGGATCGGAGGAAGTATTTGATATTTTCTGAAAAAACAGGGTGGCCGACCATCGGTCCAGATCAAACCGGAATGACCTACATACACAGCGAACGTCTCGCGGTGCAGGAAGCTCAGGTGAATGAGTCGTGGAGGGTGTAGGGGTGAGCTACAGCGGCGCATGCGTCCGAAGGTTGGAGAAGTGTGGGTACGCCACTGTAGTACATGCAACGGTCCACCTAGGGACAGTCCTAAGTAGCTGCAACATACTTATATCTGAGGCTTTGCAAGATGTGTAACAGTATACGTACGTGTGCGGTGCAAGGTTACCGAAGACTGCTCAATGGAATAATCAAACCAGGACACATGCATGCAGCATGGACGGCAATGGAATAATCAAATAATCTACACAACGAAAATTGGGAGAGGAGAAAAAGACTCTGCCTGATTGGTGCTAAATTATCCTTGTTCGACTTGAAGCTATAGATTCTTCTACTTGTGAGAGAGAGTAGTAGACGCACTCACGCACACATAACCATGCGCACCACACGAGTACGCGCGTCTTTAGGGCTGCAAACGAGTTGAGTTCGAGCAAGTTGAATTAGGCTCAGCTTAACTCATACTAAAATACGAGCGAGTTCAAATTAAGCGAAGCTCAAGGTCGAGCCGTAGAAAGTAGCTAGTCCCTAGTTTGTAACGATCTCAAGCTAGTTTTGAACTAAATAAGATGATTTTTTTTCCTGAATAATTAAGGCAAATTTCCACACAAGATAGGCCACAACATAAAAAATTACTACAAATTTCGACTTATTCTTTCTCAACTGAAGATAAGATATCATGGACGAACTTGCAAGAAAAGAAAATAAAGGTGCAACTGCTCTTGAACTTTGGCAAAAATAACAAGATATTCAACATACCACTGAACATGCACCATATTGAGGCTAAATTTTCTTCGCTGTTAATTAAGCTTCCATGTTTGTTAGTAAGTAAAATGGCGAAAAATTCGCACACAACATATATAGTAATAAACTAACCATTTCTTTGTAATAAACATGAAAAATATTTAATATACTTATATGATATCGAGCTATCGAGTTCAAACTGAGCGAGCCAATACTGTCTCAAGATCAGCTCATTTCTTGATCGAGCTACATAAAGTGCTCATACTAAGCTCATTTCCTTTCGAGTCGATCTTGAGTCGAGCTAAAATACGAGTCGACCTCAAGCAGCTCACGAGCCTCGAGCTTTTCTTACAGCCCTATGCGTCTTACACATATGCTAGGAAATATTGAAGGCACAACTGTCTTTCCATTCCAGCGAATTCTACTAATAAGGATTAAACCTGAGTAGGTGGAAACTAACGAAGAAATTACCCATAGAATGGTTTTGAAACTTGTACAGTTTACCTGTAGGGACTGTCAAAACCTTGTGGATGTAGCTAGGTAGAAATGCCATCAAATGACAATCGCAAAAAATCATTGAAGAAAATATGACTACATATGTCCTATCAAAAATTAGCATGATAAAAAACTGTATCTTACGTTCTATTAATGAAAAAAATGTATATCATTATATTATTTGATGTTTTTTCAAAGTTACTTTAAAGCAATCTTGACACAAGCAAATTGTTTTGGTTCTGTCGAGAACCTCGAAATATGAATCACTTCGAAAAATTAATTCATTCATTTTTGGTGGTTTTGCTTCTTTAAAGTTTCTAAGAAACGTATTGGGAAAATATGAAAGTGGGAGTGTTCTGGATTGGGAACCTGCAAAATTTTAACGAAAAATATAGCAATTTAATTTTGTACAAGAAAAGATTTGGGGAGTCTATTTTATCTCTTCTTTTTCCAACATATTTACATCATGGCATTTTTTTTTCTCACGTGACACTAGTAGCACCGTTTTGTTTTATGAAATTTTTGCACGTTGTACTTTTCTAGCTTTCCTTACACACATGTTTTCTTTTTCACATGCATTCAGAGAGCCACTGCAGTCACTTACCAACTGCCTGCTAACTTGGTGAGATATTGCTGCCTGATAACTTAAACAATAATTTTCAATTTGCTATTTGGTGTTCTTGAAAAATTGCTTATAGTTATTGGTGAGAAATTTTGCGTGTTAACTTATTAACCATTTAATTACACGTGAGGTAACACCAAACTCACTAAGATACACACAAGTCATGTCATCATCATCATCATCTTCCTAGGTAGTAAGTAGAAATAAGGTGACGCTTGATCGGAGCAGAGCAGCTGCGATGCATTCCTACGGCTCGGCCACGTCGTCCTTGCCGTGCTCACCGTCGTGGGGTTGCCCGTCGATCTGGACGACGGACACCGGCACCTCATCGGCGTTCACGTCGTGCTGCTGCACCACGAGCACCGAGGACGCCACACCATGCCCCGCGGACGCGAGCGTGTCGCCGATGGGCCCCAGCTCCGGGTGCTCCGCCGGGCGGACGGCCAGCTCCGCCACCATCGCCGACGGCAGCCGCCCCCTGCCGGCCACCACCAGCCCGTACTCCCGGCTCTTGCCGATCGCCACCACCTCCTCGATCACGTTGCCGGCCACCACACGCTCCTCGAAGCGCACCGCGTCGCCCATCCTCTGCCGGAACTCGCCCACCGCCGCCTCGTCCAGCTCCTGCGCGCGCACACCGTAGTCAAATCAATACAAGGAGTTCAACAATGCCGCCATTAATGGTAATAAAATGTTTGTTACCTTCTCCTTGTGGCCGTTGACGACGGCGGTGGAGAAGGTGTAGCTCTTCTCGGCGTTCCTGGCGTCGGTCGGGCGCAGCGTGACCTCTGCGTGCTCCTCGCTGCCGGCCTTGCCGTCGAGGAAGCGCACCACGGTGAGCTGCACGCCGGGGTGCTCCGCCATCCTCCCGGCGAGCTCGAGGGCCTCCCGGTCGTCGGGCCCGCCAAAGAACAGGACGCACACGCCGTGCGC